AACTTGCAGGGCCCTGCGCTTCCAGGTCGCACAATAAATGTGTGCCTATGGCAGACCTAGTATAGCTCTCTCCAGGTTAAGTGGGCTTTACTTTCTATTAACTAGGAAGTCATTCAATTCAACAAGTTTTTATTGATCACCTCCATGTTGTGGCATTTTGTGGGTGCTCAAGAAAGAAGAGTTTGTGCCTTCACACGTTTTCTTTAAGCATTTTCTTATTGCAGTGGTTCTCAAACTTTAGTGTGAGAATCACCTGGAGGGCTTGTTACGGCATGGAATAATGGACCTAATCCCCAAGATTCCGATTCAGTAGGTCTGGGGATGAAGAATTCACATTTCTAACATTCTTCTAGGAGATGGGGATGCTGCTGGTCTGGGGGCATACCTCTGAGTTCTACTGTTTAATAGGAAAAAATCCTATGAATTTAAAGCACCATCTCTTCACAACTGGTTGTGGGCTTTTCCATCCTTGTTTGCCATTTTAACTTTGTAGTTATAGTAAACATGTGCATAGTACTCTGTTAATTCCCCCCACATTACTTTATAGACAGATTTTCATGTATCTACACTTCCTAGATTACATCATATTCTATCTCATTGTGTCATTACTGGCTTGGCTATTTCTCAGCAGCCTTCAGGGATGTAAGGTTTGACCTCTGCTGGGAGAGTTTGCATTTCATTTCTGATATATACATTTTCTTGCCAGACAAGGGACCTATAAGGTAAGAATAGTGCTTTGTTCAGGCATTCATTCCCTCCCATTTCTCTCCCCCACAACTCACTGAATAAACCTAGGTTTATATTTCCATGCCAGAGGGACTCCAGTGATCCACCTCAGGGCCCAGCAATCTACTTGTTCTCATTTGCCTTGTGCTCTCTTGGTTGGAGCAGACACACCTGAACTTGAATAAGTTCAGGCTCCATCACTTACTAGCTTCCCTGCCGAGTTTCTTAATTCAACTAGAATGAGATTCTAATAGTATGAACCTCTGAATGTAGTTGTGGAAGCTCACTCACTTTTCTTAACCTGCTGCTCACTCTTTGCACTTGGTTTTCTACTGTTCTGAGTCCTCCTTTCCCAGGATGAACTGAATGGAGAATTTCTATTCCTTGCCTAGGTGAGATTTATTTTCCCTGTCTACTCTAGGACTCTGGCATCATTCAGGGATTCCTTTATTTAATCAATATTGATTCAGCCACCTTCTGGGTATCAAACACTAGGAAGGGGGTATGGTGCAGGACAGATTGTAAACATGCAGGACAGTGCAGGACAGTGCAGGACAGATTGTAAACATCTTCAGTCCAACTAGATGGTCCCTGGGCATTGACTCAGCATCTTTCCAGACTTGACATATGATGGTACCATTCATCTTGATTGCTTTTTATCCTAGTCAGTAACCAGGTTTCCCTGAATACCTGATCACTCCCTCCAAGGGTATTATTGGGTCTTTTCCAGTCTTGAGAGCAGAACAGAAACAATAATGCTCATTTGTCTAATAATCTGTCTAGGAAATGGGAGGAGGTTGTGATCATTTTACGGGATTAACGGAATTAGAGTCTGCCTTTCCTCTGTTACCATTCTCACCTGTGCAACAAGCAGGGCGAGGCAATTCTAGGCTTATTGTCTCAGAATGTTTCATGGAGAGGGAGTTGCAGATGGATGATAACTGAAAAAGCCTAGCCACTTACTGGCCCATGAATAGTAAATGTTTGGTTCCCATTTGGTTCTGTCCAGGGAATGGACATATCATTTGACCATCAACTTCTCATTTGTAGAACTTTCCAGACTCTCCTGTTGCCTCATTTTATCACCACTGAGGTGTCCCCTATGGTCTCGTGAGATGGAGTCCCTTCTTATCATAGATTTGACAATAACACAGCTCTCCTAAATATTTCACAGACTGGAATCGATTGTTTCTAGGTGCTTTCGTTGCTCTTGTGACATGTCAATTTCCAGGGTTCCAAGCAACGTCTTCCACATGCCTGGCTGGTTAGGGTGTGGTACAGGGTCAGAGATCATAGTCCCTGCCTGCAATGACTGACACAGATACTTGTGAATGGAGGTCTGGGAGTGTCTGTTAAGGAGGTCATGTGCCATGAAGAGTAGGGCCCAAGCTCTTACTCTGCCATTTACTAGCTGAGCCACCTGGTGCTAATCACTCACCCTCTGCTGCTTGGTTTCCTTGCTTATACCTGGTGCTGGTAATAATATTTGTCTCACCTCACTGGGTTGTGTAGAATATCTAATGAGATGAGTGCAAAGGGCTTTGTAAAAGTTAGTTATTGCTAATATTATCTAATGATTAGGTTTTAGGGTCTTGGTGGCTTCGCCCCGCCCTCCCCCTCTCCCCCCTTATTCCCCAAGGGTATGCTGGTATGAGAAATAACTTAGGTGAAAGTCAAAAAGGCAAGTAAACAGAAGAGGGCAGGTGATTCATTAGCAAAGGGTTTAATAATGAAAGGTGTTTTTCATCCATAGACATATTTCATGGCTGACAGGGTCTTTTAAAATATCCCGAGGGAAGCAACTCATTTGCATGTTAAAGACTCACTGACACCTTATGGAAAACTCCAGCTCCAGTCTATTTAGACACAGTTTGGCTCCTATATCATCTATTTGATGTTTTTCAATTTCCATCTCTTATTAAGGACATTTGCATGAAAACCAGGTCTTGGGAGTTGTGTCTGCTTAGATGCTGCTTCCCCACCAAGAGGTGGTGTCAAGGCTAGGGGTGGCTTCATTGCCTACAGGGACAGATGTGGAGGATGGTGCACCAGGAGAATGGGATCTTGAGGAGGCAAGGGCTGAGAGCTGGTGCTAGGGGTGATTGGGGAGGATGGCTATTGAATTGTCAGCCCTGGGTATGTGATTCTCATCTGGGGACCTGTGTTGTTACTGGGTCTGCACGGTTTGCATGGAGCATAGTTTATCCATTCATTGATTCATTCATTAAATTCAGTAAATACTTATGGAACACCTACTATGTATGAGCTAAGCCGGGGTTTGGTAAACTAAAGCTTGAGGACCAAATCAGGCCATACCCATTACTTTATATATCATCTAAGCTGCCTTTTGCCTTGCACTACAATGCAGAGTTAAATAGTTGTGACAGAGATGGTATAGCCTGCAAAGCCAAAAATATTTATTATATGGCACTTTACAGAGATAGTTTGCTGACCTCCGTTCTAGGCAGGGGGACCAGCAAGTGCAAAAGCTCTGAGGCCAGAATATGCCAGGCATATTTGAGGAAGAGCAAGGAAGTCATTGCCATTGGAGTGAAGTGAGCAAGGGGGAAGGTGGAAAGGCCTGAGACCCTGGAGGAAATCGGGAAGTCAAGTCGGGTAGGGTCTTATAAGTCATGCCAAGGTCTTGGCTCTTCATATCAGTGAGGTGGGGACCATTGGAGAGTTGAGATCAGAGGAATGCACAGTTGGACTTAAGTTTGTTTCCACACTGATACTAGACTGGGAAAAAATTCGCTCACTCATTCCTTCAATCCTTTATTTTTATTAGAGGACTTATTTATTAGCAAATTCTGCCCTTTGTATCTAGTGAAAGAGGCAGATATAGGATCAAATCAATAGAGATTAAAACTTCATAGAGGGATAATGGGGTATTGAGTGTGGAGAGATATTCTGAGAGATGAAGCTGGAAAGGTGGGTTGGGATGAGAGTGTGGTGGGGGTCCTGAAGGCCTTGCTAGGGAATTTAGACTTTTTGGTAGGTTGAGGGGAGGTAGGAGTGATATAAATGTACTTGTAGGTTAGGAGGATAACTTGAGTGGCAGAGAAGGTTAGGTGGAATGTGGGAAAGTATTTGGAATAGGGAATGGTTGAGTGGTTCAGGAAAGATGTGATGGCCTTCTTCCTCTCCTTTATTAATTGTACAAGGTTGTGCCGAATCCTAGACCCTGAGGAGTTCTATGTAAGTTCTTCAGCTTGTCAGAGAAGAAATGACAGTATGGAAGTCTCATTTACTGAGCATGTTAGGCATTCTGTTAAAGCAGCTTTTCATTTAATTCCCGCAATGACCCTGTGACGTAGGTACTATCAAGAGCTCCCTTTTGCAGATGATTACTTGGGGACTCCAAGATGTTGTGGCTTGGTCAAGGTCACATAGCTGGTGAGCAGCAGAAGCAGGACTTCCCCGCTCATACCACCTTCTCAACGTGGGCTTCTCTGCATACCCCACAAGCAAGGTCCCTGGATCACCCCCATGGACCTTCTTACACCGATGATCTTGGAGAAAGGTGTATTAAGATGCTGAGGATACTCGGCCTAATTTAAGGTCTGCTTCTGGTTCATATTGGGAATGTGTGTCTTGGTAGAAAGAAGGTAGGGGGTGAACCGAGTATGCTGTTCCTTTCGATAGAGAATACTACAGGCTGAGGGTGTAGAGAACAAGGTGAAAAGGTAGGGTTAGGTGGGGGTCTACGGGGATGTTAGAAGTGGGGCATGCAAAAGTCCCCTGGAAGCTGACAGGCAGGGTAATAAGATCCTTTACCAAAGCCTGGCATTGGATGAGGAGCTAACAACAACAACGTACAGTAGTTGTTACTGTGTTCTTACTGTGTAGGTGGCACCTTGCTGAACATTTTCCATGATTTCCTTGTTCTTCATCGCCTGTCAAGTAGGGACTGCTGTCATCATCCCCACTTTATAGACAAAGTCACGGGATTCGGAGAGAGTTAGCATTTTGCCCCCGCTCACCTGATTTGTTAGTGACTGTGTCCGGACTCGAACCCGGGCCTGTCTGACTCTGGAGTGCATGTTCTCAACCATCAAGTTCTCCCGTCTGAAAGGAACTCTTGGCTTATAAAAATGTTGGCAGAATGATAGGGTGATAGGGAGGTTTTCGTAAATAAAGAGAATGTAAAGAAAACAAAGAGCACACTATTATAAAAAATGCCGAGTCTAGAAAGAGTCAAGAAAGAAGAGAAAAAGAAACAAAATTAGGAAAAATAGAAAGCAAGAAGAAGACGGTAAAACTAAATCCAAATATATGTTATTATATTAAATGCAAACAGAAAAAATGAACTATATGCTGTTTAGAGAAACAGTATAAAATATAAGTTGAAAGTGAAAGAATGGAAAAAGATATACTGGTGAGAACTTTAAAAAAATCTGTGAGGCACGAGTCAAAATAGACTTTAAAAAAATGAAGACAAGGCTGTTTGTAGCAACAGTTTTCATACAAAGGGGAAACAGAGGCACAGAGCAGGGAGGTGATGGCCACAGACCGAGTCCAGAGCAGAAGCAAACAAGGCGATGACCTGAAGCTTCCTGCGCGTCTGTGCAGGGTTGCTCCTGCAGGTGGCTTGGCGATACGCTTCTCCTGGGCGTACTTCTCCCTTGGGGGCTGCAGCTGTGGCCAACGACTTCTGTCTGATAGAATTCCCAGGAATTAAAGAGTAAGCAGCTCATTGGGTGCTGCGGCCCCAAAGAGTGACCGTGCAGCCACCTGGTGGACTGAGCAGGTACAAGTAGGGCGGGAAAAGGTATCAGGGAGCTGGGAGCCCACTTAGGCTCACTGACCGGGAGAGCGTGACTTTGGTTAAATGGATCAGATCAGCAGGTGGACATTGAATCTCTAAACGTAAAGCACCCTGCAGGACTGTGATTAGATAGAATAGTAATAGTCATGGCGTTTGCACCTCAAGGAGCTCACAGTCTAGACAAGGGGCAGTGTAACCGCAAATCAGCCAAATGGGGAGGGCTTGCCTGGCTGCTTCTGACCAGCTACCATTTTGGCTGTGGCCTGACCACTTATGACCTGGGTCTAGAAGGCTAATGATGCCGGTGTGTATGTGGTGGTATCATAATAGTTACAAGTAATGATGATTAACATGCTCAGCCGCTTTTCCTATCTAAAATAACATTCTTTGTCACCTGTTTGTCATCTTTCCTTTTACCCTCTTTGATTTTCTTCCCAACATCTAATACCAGCTGACATTCTAATATGTTATATGTCTGTTTGCTTATGATCTGTCATCCTATCTAGAGTGTAAGCGCCATGTGGGCAAGAACTTTGTTTTGTTCACGTTGTCCCCAGTGCTTAGAACAGTGCCTGGTACTGCTGAATATAGACTGACTTTGAGAGTTGCCTTGTGCTGGGTACTATGCTAAGCATTTTATATACACGATCTCAGGGTAACCCAACAACTATCGAGGTAGGTATCATCCCATTTTATAAATGAAGAAACTGAAGTGCAATGAGATTAGGAAAATGGCCCAGGTCATTCAATCTATCTAGTGGCAGAGCCTGGATTTGAATCCCAGTCTGACTAACTATGAAACTCCCCTGTTGCTCTTTCTTTCCTTTCTTTCTGCAGGGTCTGGGGACATGGCCAGAAGGGCTCTCAAGCTCACTTCGTGGACCAGCGTGGCCCTTGCAGCCTCTGGCTTCTACCTTTACAATAACAAGTACTTGGATCCTAATGACTTTGGTGCTGTCAGGGTGGGCAGAGCAGTTGCTACGGTAGGTTTTTCTCATTTTGGGGGTAGAGAGGAACTACAGTATTACTTGAAGGTGAACATACATGTAGCAGTGGATACACTGGTCACACATGTGGAGATACACGTGTACTCTTATGTATGCAAAGCTCTCTCTTTACAGTCGTACAAGCATATAGATATATTCCTTATGCACCTGTATTCTTGTATGTACAACCTCTGCCATCCTGAAGTTTAATAGAATGGGACTGCACAGGATCTCTGTTGTGAAGCCTTTACATTTTAGGTTCCATATCTTATTTTAGCGACAGACTCAGGGCAGTGTTTCTCAGCGGATGCTTGGAAGAAAGACTTTGTAGCTTTGATTAAATTCTAGCGGAAAACTCGATCTCCTCGCAGTGAGCTAGTGTGGATGACTCTTGATGCGGGGCTCATACTCAGAACATCTAGGCCTCGGAGAGCTTTGAGAATCTCCTCCAGTCCCTAAACTAACAGATAATCTGAGTTGACAATGTGACCATTGGTGGTTTTCTCCAGTGGCTCAGGAACATTGTTCTTGTGTGATCGTGTCCTCTTAACTCTGTGGAAAGCAACTTTCCCAGATGTGCCGTAACTGTCCCATTTGCATGTGGGTAGATCGTCACATGCTCCCTTTGTGTGCTGTGGGATGAGCTCATCCTTTTTTCCCCTGTGGCGTAGATGTTCTCTGATACACGGTCTGCTTGGGTTGTTGTCTAACCATTTCCTTAACACTCGGTGTTGTCAAGTCTTTTCTCTGGCCTTGCTCAGAAGAGTACCAGCCCCTAGGGGAAGGTGAGTCATAGACTCAAGACAGACAAATGGGTAAACAGGCCATGGACTATGAAAGGATTCCCAAGTGTTTACCAAGTGCGTTTTTTGGGCCTAGCATTATCTCATATATTTGAAGAGCAGAAACAAACTGTCCCACCTAGGCACAGCTTTGAAGGAGCTTCTGGCTGAGAAGTGCTCACGTGAATGGGTCAAATCAATCTAAAACCATATCCTAGCTCAAGATGTGTGATTCAGATAATTGCTGTTGGGGGACCTCATACCCAGGAGTGAGCCCTTGGGCTGGGAGTCAGGATGAGTGCCAGAGGGGAAGCGGGGTTTGATGAGACCTTGGAGATCTGAATAGTTGGGTAGAAGGAAGGAAGGTTTTTTTTCAGTGCTTTATAAATCAGCCACGAGGCTGTGCATTCCATAAAGGCCAGGGTTCTGGCCTTGACCAGCCGTCTGCACTGCTTCATGACCAGGTCTTGCTTGTGGTTGGCGTTCAACAAGTGTATGTCAAATGGAATAAAGCTTTGGGAGTGCAGGCAAAGGAACAGACTCCTTTCTATGTCAGCTATGGGAGACTCTTAAATTCTGCGGGCCTCAGTCTCTCAATTCTGAAAGGGAAGGTTTGGGCTAGGTAATTTCCACAGCTCACCCACGCCTGAAATATCTAGGAGCCTGAAATCTTCTGATTCACAAATGATAAGTGGACTTCTGGCTAAGGGACTGAGAATCCAAACTCATGCTGTTAGAGCAATCATACATATAAAACGATGTGTATTTTTGATACAGAGAGGTGGGATAAGTTTATCCAGTAGCACTCATTCAGCTAGTATTTACTGAGCATTTACCTATATGGCTGGCACTGTAAAAGGCACAGGGGGTATGATGATGAACAGGAAGGACAAGCCCCTGTGCCTGTAGAGCTGGAATTCTAACAAAGGGGAGACAGTCCATGTACAAGGAAACAAATGAGCAATGTAATTTTAGAGAGTGATTTGTTATGGAAATTGAGAGTTCTTGGTGGGTGGGGACAGCTTTAGATTGGGACTCTCTGTAGAAGTGGCATTTGTACAGAGCCCTGGCTGACAGGAAGAAGCCAGTCAAACAAGATCTAGGGGCAGAGCATCTTAGGAGTGGGACTTTGTACTTCTCCAAACACACTACCTGTGTCAGGGGCCTGCAGCTGCAGCACTTGGGCAGAGGAGTAAGTAACATTTGATGTCTGGTGCTAAGCTTTTCCCTTCCTTGTTTCACAGACAGCTGTCATCAGTTATGACTATCTCACCTCCCTGAGGAGTGTCCCCTATGGCTCAGAGGAGTACTTGCAGCTTCGATCCCAGGTAAGGGACCCGTGGGACCCATCTAAGCCAGGCCAGGACTGAGTAAGTCCTGAAGTGGGTGCAAAGCGACAAGCTTCCTGTGTGCAGCTGGAGGTGGGCAGGGGACAGTGTGGGGATTGAGACTGGGGAGGGAGTAGGGGAGGCCTATCTCCTCATTGGAGGAGTTCCAATGCCGATGGGCTGGACTGTTAGGCCAACATCAAGCTGGATCCCGTGGAATCGAGGCTATGAATCTACAATCAGGGAGGCTGGTGTGTGTGTATGACTCTGGAGGGAGGAAGGCTCTATGATAGCTTAGCTGGCTTCCAAACTGCTTTGTCAGGCAAAACCCAATTGAAAGAGGTTAATTATTTTCCTGTCCTCTGAAGGCGACACTGGGGCCTCATGTAGGGCTCCGAGTGGAACTGTCGACCCCGCACACTGTCCTCATTTGGAATAGGGGAGTTGATTTCGATGCTATGACTAGAAGTCCCAGAGAGTTGGGGCATCAAGCAAGAGGGCACTTTTGTGGATCTACGTTGAATTTGGGGTCGATATATTGGTGTAGATATATTTGGTTCCTCCAGAGGGAAGTTTGTAATAGATCTGTGTGTCTTTGCTTAGCCTGGAATGCCCTTTGCCCCATAGAAAAGTCCTACTCATTCTTCTAGGCTCAACTCAAACATCTCCCTTAATCAGTCATCCTAGGTGGATAGAATAATTAATTTTTAAAAATTTTATTTAAACTTTTTGTTATGGAAATTTCAACTATCGACAAGAATAGAGAGAGTAGTAGAATGAACCCCTATGGAACTGTCATTCAGCTTCAGAAGTTATCACTATTTCGCCAATCTTGTTTCATCTACTCCCCCTTTATTTATTCATTCCTTAGTTTATTTTTTACTCATGCATTCATTATTTTTGCTGAAATAATTAAAAGCAAATCTCAGGCATTGTATTATTTCATCTATAAGTAACTCAGTATGTTTTTCTCATAGATAAGGACCTTTAAAAAAACAAATACAATACCATGACCATGGTCATACTTAACAAAATTAACAATAGTTTCTTAATAAACTCTAGTAGCTAGCCCATATTTAAGTCTCCCTTGTTGTTCCATAAATGTCTTTTTAAAGTCGAAATCTGGATCCAAACAAGGTACATACATACATTGTGTTTGGTTGATGTTTTCTAAATCTTTTAAAAGCTATAGTATTTTCCCTTCCTTCCTCCTCCCCCTGGCCCTGCCTTTCTTTTCTCTCTCTCTCTCTCTCTCTCTCTCTCTTTTCCCCTGAGCTATTTGCTTGTTGAAGAAACCAGATCATTTATCTTGTAGAATTGCCCACATTCAGGATTTGGATGATTGCATCCTCAAAGTGTCATTTAATGGGAAATAGATTCACCTGGTGCACAATTCAAACTATGTAATATTTGAACATACAAAATGATTCTCCTATCCTTGTTCCTCAGGTACCAAATTTTCCTGCCTGGAGGCAATCATTATTTCCTGTGTATAATTCCAGAGATAATCTTTCTATTTGAATTAATTACTCTTTTTTTTTAATTCCTGCTACAGATGATGGTTACGTCTTTCTTTCTCTTTAGACTATACATTCCTTTCAATTGGGGATTGGGTCATTTTTTTTATATCTTCTACCTCTAGCAGTGATGTGTAGGACTGAGTTGATTTAATGGCTATTTTAATGCCAAATTGCATCTTGCTAGCTCTTTGCATTGGGAGAGGCCCCAGAAAGAGAATCAGGTTTAGAATCAGAAGACCTGAGTTTGTGCCATGACTTTGGGGAGGTCGTTTAACCTTTAGGAGCTGCCATTTCCTTGTCCGTAGGCTAGAGATTGTTATAACACTCACTAAGGATTATTTTGTAAAATGTAAATATAAAGCAGGTGTCAGAAATAAGTTAGGTGTCTACTAGAAGATCTGTTCCGTGAACACCAAGGCTTGGACTGTGTTGTGTATTTCCATGTCTGCAGTACCTACAACTGTACCCAGAACACAGTAGGTCTGGAATAAAGGTTTGTTGAATGAATGAATAATGAAATGTTAGTTTGTATTGGAAGATCTCAAAGGCCCTGTCTCTGAGACTTCATGCCTCTCTTCTGCTTTTTTTCTGACCTCTTTTCTCCATCTAACCAATGCTATGGGCTTTGGAGCCCACGACAGTAACATTTTGCAGAGAGGTCCAAGCCAGGGCCCAGGGACAGAGCAGGCAGGGGGATGGGTGGTGTGGAGACAACTGCCCTTCATGTGTAAGTCATTGGAAAGGCAGTGATGCCGCAGCTCCTGGAGAAGTTGACAGCTTTGGGGATGAGTAAGGAAAGTGCAGCCTGGCATTTGACAAGAGGGCAGCACGTGTTAGCTGGCAGCAGATAACGGGGTGTAGGCTGGTCCCCAGGAATTGTGCCTGGGATGGGGGAGCCGGCTGGCACTAAAGACCATGAGTAAATACTGCAGGAGTGTGTTTTTCCATCGGAACACTTATCTGTTCTCATCCATGAGACTGATAAAGGAGTGAGTGAAGGATAAAACATAATTATCTCACCTGTCAAGCCGGTATCCCCAGGTCCCAGAGTATGCCAGAGCCAGGAGATGAGCTTGGCAGGCAGTGACTTCAAGAAGCACTTTCAAGGTTGGTGCTCAGCTGGCTTGGATCTCAGTGACTCAGCTCCGCATCAAGATAGGGTGGGAGCCAAAATGAAAGAGCATTTTCTACGGGTGTAGTGGCCCTTTGCTAGGTAGCTGAGGGCGTGGGACAGGGCCCAGATGCTTTGGAGAATGAGACTCCTGGTGCCCAGGATACTTATAAACAGAGATGACATGTGTGAACTGGCTTGTCCACAGTGCAGTGGAAGTCTCGGCTGATGCATACCTTAAAACAATGGGCTGGAAGAAGTAGGACTGAGATTATTCTGACCAAGAGGTTAGAGGATAGTGGACAGCTCAGGAACCATTCTCACTGAGGAGAGCATCCAGACTTTCCTTTGAGGAACCATTCATATCTCAGGTACTTACCATGAGATTTGAGTGGGGCTCACCCCACCCTCAGCTCCAAGGCGGGCATGTGACTTAGGCCCGTTTCTCTGGCCCTAGAGGTTGATTCAGGGAGAGCAACTGAGCCAGTGCTGGTTAGTGAGCATCAGATCCAGGACTTTTGGTGTTGTCCCCCATAGGACACTCTTTTCTGCTGCGTAAACTGAGAATATAGGATGTTGGCTTAGGGCTGCTGGCAGCCATCTTGTCACTATCTGTGAATTGAGCCAGTATTGTGGAGAGATGTGTCATTTGAATCCCTAGATCTAGCTGAGCCTGAAGCCAGACTACCAGTAGACTTTTCAATTATGTGTGCCAGGAAATTCTCTCTTTGCTTAAGATAGTTTAAGTTCAGTTTTCCGTTATTTGCAACCAAGTGAGTCATGATACACTGGGGAATCTTGGAGAAGCATGTTGGATCTCAAAGCACAATCAGGATTTTGATAGGTTGCAGAAGGACTGGTAACTCAAAGGAAGAAATGAAATTCAGAAATTCCAAGGCCTAAACAGAGTGAGGAGAGGTTTGGGTGGCGCTGGGTAGAATTTGAGCCAATTTGGACTTGGAGCCAGATCCCCAGGCTCCTGGTCTACCACCAAGCACCTCTACTTCCTTATCTGTAAAGTGGTGGCAATGGCCTTTGCCCCAGCTGAGTTTGTAAGAACAGACGTGAGAAGACTTACTTAAACACTCAGATTATTTAATCCAGCCAGGGAGGAGATCCAAAAGCACAGGGTTTGCCTCGTTGACTCCTTATCATTTTAATGAACAAGTTAATGATTTCCTTATTTTTACATTTATTAATTGGAATTCTTCTATAAGGAAAAGGTATCCTTTCTCCCTCAGTTTGTTGAATTATTTTTGTAAGTATGAACTCATGGATATTTATGTTATTGTATGGATTACAATCCAAAACAATTATTGTTTATTTTATTTGCACAAATTGTTCCAACTTTGGCCACTGGGAGCTCCTTCAGGTTGTCTCCTGTGTCTTTTTGATATGCCTCATCATTTTTTGAGCACTATCTTAACTTTTTGGTAGCACAAGATGCCCCAGGCTCGTCTTATATTTTCCTTGCCCCAGCCTTGTAATCAGTCACTTCTCTAAGGAGTCTTGGTTCCTTTTATTGGAAAATGATATTTAGAAACCAAGCTGTGGATGCATATTGCTATTGGGGTGTTGTGGTTTCCAGGCTCTCCCAGGAGACCAAGCCAGGAATTATATGTATTAATTCTTACTCATGCATATACACCTCTATTTACTTATTAAAAAACCATGAGTTCGTACTGATATCTTTTGTTTCAGTCTGACATCACAGAGTTCATTTATCCTTCTCCCTTATATGTAACTTATTTCTCTGAGAGTGAGAAACCTGCCTCTTATTATCTGTAATATATTTACTTATTTGTTCAACCTTAGTATACCCCAATGTAGTTAAGACACCCAGGCATACAGGAGCAGGGAGAGTGGCCTAAAATGGGTGAGACTGAATGAATTAAGGGGGTATTTGAGCTGAGTTTGGAAAGATGGGTAAGACTGAAACCTGTACCATTGGGGACAAGGTGATTTTGGTTGAGAGGTAAAATTTTGGAGATTGTCTTTAAGAAATAGATTAGTTCAGTGTCTGGAGACTAGGTTAGGGGTGAGTGAAAGGACATATTGGTAAACAGAATTAGAGCTAGATCACAGAGGGAAAAAAGGCCATGTTTTATACCAAAAATAGTAGGGAGCCATGGAAAATTTTAGAGCCAAGTTTTATTAAGCCCTTAATGAATGAGAATGCTTAATGTTTTCAGTTACTGAATATTTTTTGAGCCTCTACTCTGTGCTAGACAATGAGTAGAAGAGTGAGCATATATATATGTGTGTGTGGGATGGGGTAGAGAAAAAGAGGGGGCGAGGGATGGCATGTACATTTTCTTTTCTTAATCAGAGTCCTAATTTAGGAGGGAACTCGATTGCTACTGTGACTG